AGTTTTTTTCCTTTGTGTTTGATTCACAATAAAACTAATTATTCATAATAAACTCGCGTAAACTTAAATACGAGATAAAAATAATCTTTAACTCTACTTTTTATTTATATGGATAAAGGCATGAAATTGTTCAGATAAAATAAACCTGTATATCATCGTCTCAAAGCTTATTTTTTCAATCGACCAACTCACCGAAACAGTTTTTTATACAGAATAATTGACTTTATAAATATATATAGAATATTAAATATATATTTTACTTTGTATTTTATCTGTATTTTAAATTAATCTTATAAATAAATCTTTGTTTTTAATATACAATAAAAAAACTTTACTTGAAATTACCACGAATATAGGTAGTTTGAACAAATAAGCACTAAGTCGACGATATACATCAAGATACGCGGTAGCGTGTCCAGCCAAGTTCAAGCCAAAGGAACTTGCGACGCAGCACTGTGTGTACACGAACCATTTCGAGCCAATTTTCACCTTGTAATAACTCAAAATCTATTTAACATAAAGTCATGAAATTTGATTCGTTTATTAAATCTCCTTAGATTTACTAGAATCCCCAATTTTTATAAATACAGGTCAAATGGTTATTGAGATATTAACGTCTTAAAATCGGAACTTTTATCACTGACTGACTGACATATTATAGTATTAAAACCTAACCCATTTCCATATGACCTAGAAAGGTGAAATTTAAGGTACAGATGGGTAATCGTGTGCATACAAAGGGAAAAATCTGAAAACAGTAAATTTTTAAAATTTGAAAAAAAAATACCTAGTGGCTTTTGAAATATAATAGCAATAGCAATGATAGTAATAAAAAAAACTTTTCCTTTCTCAGGAGAAAAGGTTCCATGATGATTAAATAGCATTTTCCTATTCTGCCTTATCCATTAACGAATAATCGCAAAATTATGAAAATATGCGAGTCGGACTCGCCCACTGAGGGTTCCGTACAATTTTGTAGGAGATCTGTTTAACTTTAATTTTCATTTCTTTTTTTTTTGGAATTGTTCCTTTATTTGTGCTGTAAAACCTTGCTTTTTGCCAAATTTCATGATTCTAGGTCAACGGGAACTACTATATAGGGGTTTTTGACCCAAAACCTATAGGGTACTTCCGGTTGACCTAGAAATGTGAATTTTGGTTTCAAGCAAGGTCTTACAGTACAAGTAAAGGCAAAATTCCGAAAAATAAACAAGTTGAAAATTAAGGTCTACGAATAAGTAATAAGTCAGGAAATGTAACTGCGTTAAAAAAATGACCCAACAAAAGTCGTGTCCACGTAGATGGGGCTTAAAAATCGTGTTCAACGCGTCATCAGCCGGACTTTATTCTTACAAGCGAGTACATGTTAAATTTGTCAAATTTCGCGTACGTATAAAAATTTTTTCATTGTGAACTACAGCTGTGAATCATCATGCCAGCATGTGTTATGAAGTGGCGCAGGAGCCATACAAAATTAAAATGTCCAGGAATCACTTTTTACTAGTAAGTAGTAGCAAAATTATAATTATATTTAATAAAAGATGTTCAAATGACAAATATGTTGACAAACCGTGATGGCCAGTACTGTGCAAAATGGAGGCAATCAATTTTTGATCTAATTTAGAAAGTTTTTTTCTTCTTGATGAAAATAAATGTAAATCGGTAAAATTTAGATATTTTATATAAGTAATATATTTTACTTATTTTGTTTAAAATACCGAAGTACCAGTTTGTACAGTAAGTACCTACTGTTTTACTATTAAAATAATTACGTTATTTATCAAACCTGAAATTAAGATGTTTTTTTAACGCAGATAATTCGTCCCGAAGAAACGTGGACATCTTTAAAAGATACTATAGAAAATGACAAAATAAACAATATTGAACGATTACAGTTACCATGTAATGTAGGTTCGGCTTTTTCGACTTGTGGGAATAACTTTAGCATTAAAAAAGTTCAGTTCATTATATTTTGGTCGAATTAAAGCACGTTTAAAATTCAGCCTCTGCAAATTTTGGGATTTGTGTATTACTTGAGTTACTCAATAAAACAATTATTGCAGACCCTCAAGCTCTTAAGGTACAAAAACGTAAATTGGTAAGGATCGACTAATATTTTTTGTACTTGATCTTTAGGTTCGATATTTTTGTTTTAGCTGTAAATACATACGTATCTATTTCAAATAGAGACAGTCTTTCTTAGATTTGAAACTAATCTTCAATGTTATTTTCAGGAGAATAATAGCAACACTGAGTGTAATGACGGAGTTAAACAAGAACCAAGAAAAACAAAATTAAAAAAAAATCTGGTTTCAATTTTTTTTAAAACTATGTTTAAGCCCGTGACCAGAAAGTGATCTTCAATTTATTATGTCAAAAAGGTTGTTAAACGTTTCTAAAGAGCTAACAGTTGCATCTGTGTCTTGAAAATCTGGCATGTTTAATTGTTGCGATCAAAACTTTAAACGCATCAGCTACACTTTGACTTAAGGTTTGAGTCACTAGTTTCACGTTAATAAAATGTATTATCGTTGAATTTCTCAGAATCCGTCTTCACTACATTGCGAAGAAAGATTCTCTTTTAATGTATTTTAAACAAAAATTTTATAAATTATTTCGCGGAGCATAGAGTTCATTGAATTGTAAAAATAAATTAAATTTATTCATAAGTATTATTAAAAATATTATTTATCGTAAGATGCAATAGTCAAAGTCCTAGGACCGGTATTAGCGCTTTTTATAAAAACGCGCGTCTCACAAAAAATATAATGAGATGCAGTTGTGTTTAAAATACACAAACCACGCATTCTAAATGAGTTTCAAATAAAAATAATTAAGTAAAACTTACAAGCACTAGTAGAGTTTTCTCAATAAGATTTTTGTTATTATTTTAGGACTTAAGGGCTTATGCATATATGTATTTATAAGCTTGAACTTAAGTCTTATTGCAAAATAGCGGCTCACCCTCGCTTCGTTCGGTTTCGCCTCTAGAAAAGCACAAACAGATCTATACGACGGGAACCGTTCATTTTTCCGGGATAAAAAGTAACCTGTTGTTTGACCGGTAATATAAGGTATCAGCATGTCAAATTTTACTAAATTAGGTGCGTAAGTTGTTGTGTACTAAGCTGTATAAGTTACTATAGTTTTTTAACTATCCCACGGGAACTAATTTTCCGGGATAAAAAGCATCTAAAATGTTGACGGGAGATATAAGGTACCACCATGCAAAAATTCATTTAAATCAGTCTTATAGTTTCAGAGAGTAACTCGTACAATCAGATAAATAGACAGAGAAACAAAAAAATTGAAAAATCTGGATTTGTTCTATTTCTCTTCTTACACCTCCTTGACTCGGTTTTTAGCAACTTTTTTTCTATGTACAGACATACGACCTCTACAGTTTTATTATAGTAATAAATTGCAAAGAGAGGAGTTTAAGTGGTTGTCAACATGACAAGGATAGCGAGATTACATGCGATGATTTAGTTTGCTATACACATTTTCTGATGGACTAAGATCCCGCTGCAAGATTGCTACGTACATAGCGTATTTAATCAAAATCAATTTTTACATACAATGTATATATATGTATATATATATATATATATAATAATAATATCAAATACAATAATAAAAGGGACAATATGTTTTGGCCGGGGTGCCTTTTAAAATGTGCCTGCTAGTACGTTTAATTAACTAAATAATAATTGACTTTTTGAAACAAAAACGATGCATTTGTTATTAAAATGAATTATACTCTACTTCACAAAAATATACGTAGAGATCTTGAAAAGTGATAGCTGCCGTTGCGTACTTGGCCGCAACCTCTTCGCAGCCAGGTGTAAGCAGGTCATATTTTGTTACGTTTATACGTTCATGGCGTATATTCATCATTGATATATCAAATTATAGCTAAATTTTTTCTGTACCTGATAAACTACGTCTGCCGATGTAAAAGTGGTCCCAAAAGTGGTTGCCAGTCATTAAAGATTTTTTTGTCACATTTATACGTTCATGGTGTATATTCATCATTTATATTATATCAAATTAAAGCTTTTTTTATCTGTGTATGATAAAATACCTTTACCTATGTAAGTGGCCACAATGGAAAGAAAAGAAGGAAATATATAATTTGTCAGACGGATAACAACGGTTACCATGTCAACAAACAGTTAACTAACGCGCTCTCTTTCACTTTAATCTATCTTTGCCATGTATGTACCAAAAAAATCTTTAATCACTGGCAACCACTTTTGATCAAATACGCTATGAACGTAGCAATCTTGCAGCTAGATCTCGATCTATGATAAATATCTCCTCAAAAAGTTGAGTCGGCAAACGCTTAGTCAAACCAAAGAATAAAATTCAATAATCATATGATCTACTTGTCTTAATACAAATGCGAACTTACGCACTCCGCATAAAGTACTTTTCAACCGATTAGGTATGTATGGTAAATGAAAACTACCAATCAGTAATTTTTTACATTTTAGTGCTTTTGTTTGAAGTCGGTTTTTATGTTTTTGTTAAAAAGTTTTTTTGACAAAACAGCAGGCGTTTTAATTTTGTCATCAAATTCAAATTCATAATAGAGTTCTCAAACACTGTGCTTAGAAGCGGGAAAAACTGGAAGGACTATATACACTTGAATGTCTTACGCCGATGATGTCGTTTCTAATAGTTAGGGATGCATGATGTCACAATTCCGAGGAACATTTCCAAATGGAGTATTGCCATATAGCAGGAGTAGCAAATGGGTAAAAATGAGTCATAGATTACGCTGACTCTATAATATATGTACCTAGTAGGCAAGGCAGCTCGTCCGCTTTCTGTCTCCAAGTTTTAGGTTCAATGTCAACTCATGCTCTCGAGTTTCGATATTATAACCGAGGTTATGTTGCAGTGACGCACCAGGGTCTCCCCTCTCTCGCTAGTATTCTTAGTAATACTTAAAGCTTTAGTTTAGTTAGATTCTGGCATTTTATTCAGACTTAAAGATGTTGCAATACATACTCGTGTTACTTGTGATAGTTCTTGTAGTGTCAGCTCAAAGAATAAAAAGTAAGAAGTTGCCGAAATTACACGAAGAAATAAAAACACAATTTTCGTATATACCATTCATTGGACACGCGCATCATTTTTTTGGGAGTAGTGAAGGTTGGTATTTCAAATGGATATTAAAATTAAATTGTTGTCATAACTTTTCTATAATCCCTCAACGACCGCGGACACGCTTGCGTTACAGTTCACACTAGATTTCTTATGGCCTAAGAGCCCGTGAACGCCAGACCTTCGTCATTTTATAAAAGCTGAAAGTTTGTCAGCGTATGCTCCCAACACAGATAAGAACGGTGGACCATTATAAAGTTCAGGCTATGGTGGCTTTGGCAAGTACACGGTACTAAAGGTGTGTAAAATACCGATCTAAATTCGTCAAATAATAAAGTGTGATTTTTTGGTATAACCTTCAGAATATTATTAAAAATCACGTCATTCAATGCCAGACACTTAACATTATGGCAAACCCTTGCCAGACACCCATTTCATGAAATAATAATTCTACTTACGTTATAGTATAAAAGCTAATTTTTATATATAATATTTGGGTAATGATTAGATGATTTATAAGACTGCTAGCATAGCATTTATTACACACCATCAAAAATAAAGTCAATTCTTAGCGCTTCAAATTTGGTGACCATTTGCAACATTTTCTTAGAAATGCCTTCCAACTTGTTTGGAACATTTTTAATTTTTTTTCATTTTTCATTGGTACATTAATTCGATTACATATACATCGATAACATATACTTTTAGTTCAATAGTTTTAAAGTAATAAAGGGGATTATAGTGACACCTATAATTGGCGTTACATCCTAAGCCGAAGGCGAAGATTTTATAGGCTTAAATAATATTATAATAGGAAGAAACTGAATTGTCATTATCTATTGTCAGCCAACAAAAAACTTAAAAACAGCCAAAAAACTTAAAAAAGAATAGACCAATATATTAAACTACTAGAAAAACAAAAAGAAATGTATCCTTCAGTAATCGTATATTTTTCCGGGATAAAAAGTAGCTATAGTATGTGTTATTCCAGACTATAATCTATCTCTGTGCCAAAATTCATCCAGATCCATTCAACCGTTTTGGCGTGAACGAGTAACAAACATCGATCGATCTTTCACGTTTATTTATAGTAGTAAGATTGTTTTGTATTTAATTTTAAAGAATCGACAAAAGCTTGCATAAAAGTTGTCCTACTCCGAAAGTTTTACTTTTTAAAAATAATTATTCTTTTATACAGAACTAGCAAAACCCGTGGCTTCGAGCGCGGTAAAACTACAAAAGAACTCTAAAAAACGCTAAAAAACGTAATTCATTATTTTTGAGGCACTCAATTCATACGAAATTTCTTGCAAATATGTCCTAGGAATAAAAAGTTTTATACAAACTTTTATCCCCAATTTACCCCCTTGGGGGTTAAATTTTGAAAAAATCCTTTCTTAATGAATGCCTTCGTCATATGATGAATACGTGTGCGAAATTTTATTTTCTAGCCTTAGGGGTTTTGCCTGTGCGTTGATACATCAGTCAATCATATACAATATATATATATATATATATATATATATATATATATATATATATATATATATATATATATATATATATATATACACACAGGGTGGAACAAATCGAAAGGACATGAAAGAAAAGTACCTTAAATATTGAAGATATCAAGTTTTACTCAAGGAAACTTTCTTTTATTTTTGAAAATAACAATAACTGCATTTAATTTTTTTTTAAAAAGCTTACCTGAACCGGGAATCAAAGCAAATAAAAATGCATATATATATATATATATATATATATATATATATATATATATATATATATATATAATATATATATAGTACCTGGGCCACCGAGCTTTGCTCGGAGTTTTTAGTTAAAAAGTACAATTTTCTTTTAAAAAAACTAAAAACATGAATAAATACAAAAAAAAAAACAATAAAAATATACCTGTGTATCCGACCGGGATTCGAACCCGGACACCTATGATTGTCAATCTTGTGTCTTTTTGTTTAAAATTAACTAAAAACTTGAATAAATATTAAAAATAAAATAAAAGTAAAACTTTCTACGCTACCGAGATTCGAACATGGACACCTGACATTGTTGATCTTGCACCTTGTCCGCTTGACCATGATGCTTATATCCGAGCGTGCGAAATTGTCGAACATAATATTTTGCGTGGAATAATACAAAAGAAATAATAATAATGAAGCTTTATTTATTCTATAAATGCATACTTATAATTTTAAATTATAATTACTCTTACTTAATTAATAATTTTAACATTGTATTTTAACAGGTCATATTTATAACTTATTTAATTAGATTTAATTTAACTTCAATTTTTGGTTAGTGACTATTTATTAACTTATCATTTTTAACTAATAATTTTGTAATCTGGAATTAAATTATTTTAAAAATCTTTAATATTATTTGAAATGAAATTGTATGTTGTGATAACCTATTTAGTTACATTCAACTTGTTGTTAGCTTATGAGCAATTACATGACATTATATATATATATATATATATATATATATATATATATATATATATATATATATATAAATTATCATTAACAAATAAATAAATAAACAATCACAATAAATTAAATAATTCAATTGAGTAAATACTAAACATTACACAATAATAAATATGAATAAAACTTCTTTCCATACATTAATTCTGACAACAGTTTTAAATTAGGTATTTAATTTCATATTTAAATGTATTTATTTAGTAAATGTCTTTTGTGAATTTCCTATTAGGTTTCATGTATAGACCCCTCTCGGGTAAAAGCCTCCTCCAAAGTAGTCCTGCATAGAGCTCTCCGTAAGAGATTATCCTTGTATGATTGCTATGGGTTTCTTTTCAAATTTTGTTTCCAATATATAATTTGTTTCTGATATGCATATAAACTTTATAATTTTATCTTTGTGTTCTTTTGATATCTTGTAGAAAATGCTGCTTTTAATTCTAGAAGTTTTTCTGATGAATATATATATATCTTTGTTCATTGTACGTCTGTTTACTATACTGTATCTTGCTGTGTTGTTTTTAGTTGTTCCTGGTTATCATTTGTGTGGTTGAAAGTTAATTTTGGTTTTTGTAATACAAAGTCTTTAATATTAGCAGGTTTGGTTTTCTTTGTATGTTGTTTATTTGTTAGTTTCTGTTTATTATTGAGGTAATGCGTTTCTGGAGATACAGGCAACTTCTTTTATTTGAGTATTGGCGAGAAGTGTTCTTATTATTATCCACAATAATTAGTTTATCATATTTAATGAAAGCTGTTTTGCCTAGGTCTTTTTCTATCTTTAGTTGAACTTGTAACTCCTTGCGTTTGTTTAAGACTTCTATTGGGTAGCCTCTTTAATGTAAATATTGAGTGCCACATAAGCAATTCCCATTTTTCTGAATTTTTAGTTTCAGGCCTATTGTACTAAATGATATTATGATTGGTCTAACCTCCACACTTTTTTTCCCTATTCTTCTAACAGCTTCAATATTATTGCTGTCGTACTAAATGTTGAAATTTGTATTTATAATTTTTTCCTCTAGTTCATGATAGGATTTTTCATTTTCTTCTACTCTGAACATAACCAAGTTCTTGCACCTAATATGTCTTTCTAAATTATTTATTGAGGTACCTTGTTCCTGGATTTTTCTCTCAAGAACTTCATTTTTTATTTCTAAGTGTTTAAATTTCTCATTTAAGTATATTATTGTTGATTGTATTTTTAATGTCTTCTTTCATTTCTAACATTTCTGTTTTCTGCTGTCTTATTTCTTGTTGCATGTTTATTAGCAACTTTTTTATGTCCTCCATTTTAAGTGTGAAGTTTAAAGTAGAAAAGCTGATAGAAAAAGATCACCTATTATACCTAGTTGAATTACAATTTTATACCGAGTATTAAATTTTGAGGTTATAAACTTATGTTTTAATATTTTACGCTTTTACTTCACAAATTTATTTTGCTTTATTGTCATCACACACAGAAAAGATGGGTTTGCACTGATAGTATCTATATGTTATGTTTGTCACTTTTGTATTTGTTTGGTAGGTGAATTTTTAAAAGCTCATTTGTTCTTCAACACATCAAGATTTGGTGATGTTTACATATTACCCATAGGTTTTATCGATTAATTTTTAATACTTTTCTTTAGATTATTTCCGTTATAATATTTTTAATAATTCTGGAATAATAAATACGGACACGATGTAATGTAGACAGTTGCACAGTGTCGCCTCCCACCCACCAGAAGTAACAAATGACAATGAAAATATTGTGAAAATGCAAAAGAAAATCGCATGAAAATTTGAAAACTCGCGTTTTCCCAGATATAAGACTAATCTAGATCGAATTATCGCCCCCAAAACCGCTCGTATACTAAATTTCATGAAAATCGTTGGAGCTGTTTCCGAGATTCAGATTATGTATTGATATATATATATATATATATATATATATATATATATATATATATATATATATATATATAATATTTTCTCAATCAGATTAATTCTGTGTTATTCTCCAGAAAAAGATAGCGCAGAAGAATTTAATTTCTATAAAATTTTAAGTTTATCTATTATTGAATGTTAAATATATTCAATATCAAATAATGATAATATATCAATTTTGTTTGTGTTTTTTTAGATCGTATGAATAGACTTAAAGAGCTAGCGTATCAGGCTTACAAAAATAAACATGGCATCGTCAATGTATGGCTCGGCAATACATTGTATTATGGTGAGAGTATTTAATTATTCTTAGTCGTGCTTTGTATACTTGCTTTAATTAAGTGAGGTTGGCTTCTAAAGCTCTCATTACTTTTACATTTATTATTTAAATCGTATTTTCCCTCAAAGACCGCGGACACGCCGGCGTTACAGTTAACAATAGATTTCTTAAAAATTTAATTAATTTCTTAGAAATTTACCTGGAGGTGTTAAAATACTTACTTATTTTTTTCTTTTATACGAATATTTCTAGGTATATCTGATCCTGAAGCTGCAAAATTGCTTTTAAAATCTTATCTCGACAAGGGCCCCTTGTCCAGACTTGCACATCACCTGATCGGCGACGGCTCCATCTTCTCCTCTGGTAAGAGACTTATATAATATACAAAGAAAAGTACTAGAAAATTGTAAGTTTTAAAAAGGCCTACAGAAAAGTGCACAATAGCAATAACTATTTTTATCTATACAGATAAATAAAATTGAAGTGTCCGTTTGTAATGTCTAAATAACAGCTTTATAGTAAATGCATGTGAAATTATATACGGTACTTAGAAGAAAACAACAATTTTTAATTTTTTGTCTGTCTATCTATTTGTCTGTCTGTTTGTTCCGGCTAATCTCCGAAACAGCTGGACTGATTTTTACGGGACTTTTACTGGCAGATAGCTGATGTTATAAGGAGTAACTTACCTAGTGTAAGTGTAGTTTTATTTTAGAAAACGAATTAGGGTTTCGCTAAAAACTTAAACCGTATCTGGTATATCAAACTACAAAAGACATGCCTTCAGGACAACTAGTTTTCAATTATAATATATTAGTGTTGCAACCTTACTGAATTCTAGTCGTAATAATAACAATGTGTAGGACCTGAAATAAAATATACGGAAAGTACCTATTTGAAAATTATAGTGTCAAAGAATGTAGTAGAGAAACGTTATACGTTTGTTACATTTATAAAAAATATACAATTATGAACAGAATTAATAAAAACTTTTTAAGAAAAAATAAAAACCGACTTCAAAAAAAACGGGTATCTATAGTAAATGAAAACTACCAATCAGTTATTTTTTAGTGTTTTTTTTCAATATACATATATAAAAACGTGGCGGATAAGGTCTATAGCCTGATCCCCATCGTATTGAAGCCAGTGCACAGCAGTGGGACGTTAAAAAGGGCTGAATACATATATATATATATAAATATATATATATATATATATATATATATATATATATATGTGTGTGTGTGTGTTCCCAATATATTTTATTGTTAGCACCAAAGCTCGTCAATAGCTAGGTACTAAACAAAAAAAAACAAAATCGGTTGACAGACAGAGGAGGAAGAGGTACTAAACTAGTTTGTCTTTGTCTATTTATATATAGATTTTATTGTTGTGCAGTGGACACGTGGCGTCATCGGCGCAGAATCCTTTGTCATGCCACTGCATCGAAGCACACAAACAATTTCATGGAAATCTTTGAACGTAACAGCAACGTGCTAGTGCAGCAGCTCGCGCGAGTCGCCGGCAAGGGTGACGTCTCGTGTTTTGATTTCGTCTACTCCTGCTCGTTGAACTCCTCTTGTGGTTAGTACTTTACTTAAAATTAATATTCTATTAAAAGAAGAAAATTCTATTAATTTTAAACCGCCGAACAAGGAAACGGAAAGCGGAAAAGTAAAATAAACATTTCTAATCTCAATACCTACCTAAAGGAGTTTCCTTTTTTTTAACGTTGGGAAATGCATTTACGCACGAGGTGTGGGACGCACCGGCGTAATAAAGCCAGTACTACCCACTAAAACCCAACAAAACCTTCCCCCGTCTTAATGGGGCGTCACAGGATCGCTTACGCATTCAACTACGACGCCCCGACGGCAGGTCTGCCGCCACAACCATGGGGTTGCTCCAAGGTCCACTCTGCTATTAGAGAAGTACCAGGAGTAACCCACATGGTACACTGCCCACCGAAGAGGGCCACCTCCCACCGCCCACCGAAGTGGGCCACCTCCCTGTGCGTTTCTTGGCTTCGAGCCCGGCTGAATTGCCGGGCAATACTGCGCCCTCCCACCACGACAAGGTGAACGCACGTTGGGGGGGACATAAAGGAGCTTCCTAATTTATTGTAACTAACTTTAATTCGGTGTGTACGTTAAGCGCCTTCTTTATTCGTCGTTTAAATGTACGTGGTTTGTACTGACTAGTCATGAATTGTTTGTAATACTGTGAATTTATTATTATAAATATAAATTATGTAACTCATTATTTAAAAGAGTAAATGTTAAGTTTCTCGCCGGCTCTTCGCAGCAGAACTGCTTTCCGAGCCGGTGGTAGCTACCACACGGGCAGACTTACTGACAATTTTTAAAGAATTAAATTAATGTTCCAAAAGTATTGACTATAAGAATATATGCAAGGAATATCTCAAAGTTTTATTAGTTGTAAATGTAATAAGTATGTACAAACTACTGTACAAGTGAGATTATGACAAAAGTTCTAATTGCATCTCACTCAGATTGTTTGGGCAAAAAACGAGTCAACCCTACTATTCTCTGTACTGAAAGACATAACGTCTCGTCTTATTGCTTCTGCCTTCTGACAATAAAGAAATATTTTCTTACTAAGGTACTTTACGTAACTTGAAAACGTATTCCATTTTTAAGATCGCTTGTTTAAAAAAAATAATGCCGGATATTATTTTTTAGTGAGATATTACATTTTTGTCTCTGTCTGTCTATGGTATCTTGTTGTAAGTCAGACTATAAACTATTCAATTATTGTAATCATCTACAATATAATATTAACTAATACTGTTTTTATTTTAGAAACAGAATTTGGAGAATGCGTGCAAGAAAATTCGGAACATACCTTTCGACAAGCGTTTATCGAGTACTACAACAATTTATCAGTTCGTCCGTTTCAGTTTTGGTTGCACAACGATGCTGTTTACCGATGGATGCCAGTTTATCGCAAGCAAGTCAAGGCACGAAATATAATTCATGACTTCGTTACAAAAGTAAAAACTTTGAAATATTCAATGATTTTCGTATTATTATGTTAATGTGATTTTAAATTGAATAAGCTATGTTTATTTCAGTTAATACAAAGAAGAAAGAACGCTTTAAAGTCTACTCACCAAGAAAATCGTAAGTTTGTTCGTGTAACGTACTTTAACTTGTGCATTAAATATTTTTAGAAAATTTATTGACCGGGATTCCGCTATTTAGGATGTAAAATATATATTACGAGTATATATAATAAAATAAAGTAAAAGACCACAATCTATGTACAATGTATGTATGTGCTCCAATGTCCGTTCGACTCGGGGAGAGGACCTAACACATCACTATGTACCGTATCAAAAGGTACGTCAGGTTTTCTCCACGACTGGATCGGCTGCAAAGGTTGACGTGGTACCTTTTTATGTGAAAGACATACTATGCAATGACGTATATATTTGTACAATGTAATCATAAACAATATATATAGATTAATAAATCTATAATCAATAGTAATTTGTCCTAAAAAAATCTTTCTTAATTTTTTATTTAGCACTAAAACTGTATAATTTACTTTTATCACATGTTTTGACGAAAATTTCACACATTAGCTTTGTGAAATTTCCGTCGAAATTGGTTGTGGGAACGGACTGACAGCCAATTTATAATAACCTATTTACTATGAGTACTTTAATATTGTACAAATATATGAGCTAAACATATAGGTCAGTAATTATTATTTATATAAATATTATAGATAAGCTTATTTATTTCGATGCAAAAGGTAACAATAAAACGGAGTCCTACACAGAGCTGTTAATGAAGTATTCCGGGGGAGACAAAGGTTATTCGGACACAGAGTTGCTCGAGGAGTCACTTATGATGCTCATGGCCTCTACCGACACCTCGACAATCGCCATTTGCTTTACATTGATTCTATTGTCACAATATCGCGATGTGCAGGAAAAGATTTACAAAGAGTGAGTATATATTTAATATTAGATAATATTGTACTTTTTAAAATAATTACAAAAATGAGAGAAGTCTTATGAGTTAACGTATACTTGTACTCCAACTATTTTCATGAAATTCAGAAGACGGGGGTTTCGGGGGCGATAAATCGATCAAGATTATTTTTATGTCTGGGAAAATGCGTGTTTTCAATTTTTATGTGGTTTTGTTTCGCATTATTCCACGCAAAATATGTTTACTAATTCTCACGCAAGGACATAAGCATCGTGGTCAAGCGACCAAGGCGCAAGTTTGACAACCACAGGTGTATGGGTTCGTATCCCGGTCGGATACAAAGATTTTACTTTTAGTTTTTTTTTTGTATATATTCAAATTTTTAGTTAGTTTTTTTTTAATGTTTTTTTCTTGACCAAAAACTCCGAGCGAAGCTCGGTCGCCCAGGTACTTCTATTTATAAAACATTTCAGATATACAAAGTTGACAGAATAAATTACCAAAGTAGCACTGTGTATTGCATGTTTGATAATTTTGGTTGCGAGATTCGGTTGTCGTGAGTGATGAGCGGTATTACTTCCAATATTACGTTTCAGAATCCATTCAGTGGTCGGTGACTCCGGCAGAATAACACTAAACGATATCAACAAACTGGAATACTTAGACGCAGTTATAAAGGAGTCTCTGCGCCTCTACCCGCCAGTGCCCGTCATTATAAGATATAGTGACAAAGATTTCGAATTACGTAAGTGAATTAAATTTATGAGTATCGTCAAGATTATATACTGTATTAGTGATTGTCTTAGATTGTTCAGTTTTCAAATTAAAAAATAATAATTATTTTACTGTGCCATAGCACTTTTGTGTGCCGCCAAATTTTAGAAATGATATAATAAAAACTATAATGCTTTTTTATTACGGGTAAAGTGTAATTTAAGACGTTATTTTAATTATTATTACTAACGATTACTAGATAGCTTATGACGTTTAGTATGGAATATAAATACTAACAGTACCCGCGGCTTCGCCCGCGTTCAAACTACTAAAAAACCAACTCTTTGACTTTATGTTATAACTGAGAATAATTTGATAGCTGTAATGATTTTCAAATGTGTGAGTATGATTTTGACTCGTCCATCGAGGGTTCCGCACCTCCGAGTATTGTGTTGTTCTTACTAACATCTTTATTCTTTACACACTAAAACATTTTTTTTATGTTTTCACAATACATACATTCTTTATCACTTGCCATATAAGCTCGTATTTCTTAAATATGTTTTGAAAAAACAACAAAGATTTTTAACAAAAATTCTGTACATTAATTTTCGTTTAAAATAGTTAGCAAACTCCACTATCTCTATTTTTGGCACATTTTTCTACTCCATCTTTCCAAAGTAAGAGGAAGAGAGGACAATGATATAACTCGCATACAATGCTTAAGTCTTTACAGTCATGTAACTCGGCTAATGTCAAAATCAAAATCAAAATATTTTATTCAGCATTAAATTATTACAATTTTTTACTGAACGTCATGAGTCTACTACCAGTTCGGAAAGAAGAAGCCTCAGACCTGAGAAGAACTGGCGAAAGAAACTCAGCGGGACCAATATTAACTTATCTTTTTTTTAAAGTAAAATTAAAATTTACAATATTTCTATAAATTTGAAGTAGCCTGGAGGCAATCATTTCATTCCCAAGGTGTGCCATCTTCTATAAAATCATTTATTGTATAATAGCCTTTAGCACACAAACGTTCTTTAACAATTTTTTTTAATTTGGCGATAGAAGCATTTTGAACATTTTCTGGGATCCTGCTGTTCAAGCCTATACATTGTCCATAAAAAGATTTACTGACTCTGTGTAGACGAGTCACAGGCATTACAAGTTTGTGTTTGCTCCTAGTATTAATGTTATGCATGTCACACTTCTTGGGAAATTCGTGTATATTTTTACGGACATACATAACATTTTCGTACACGTACTGAGAAGCAACAGTCAATATTTTTATTTCTCTAAACTTATCTCTTAATGACACTCTAGGACCTAAACTATAAATTGCACGAATAGCTCTTTTCTGCAGGACAAAAATCGTATTAATAACAGCTGCATTTTTCTATAGTAAGATACCATAGGACATAATACTATGAAAATAACTAAAATATACTATGCGAGCTGTATCTACATCAGTAAGAAGTCTTATTTTTTTTACCCCGAACGCTACAGAGGTGAGTCTACTCGCTTGTCTCTCAATATGGGGGCCCACTGTAATTTCGAATCTATGATAATACCTAGGAATTTTGTGGACTCTACAGGTTTTAACACTTCGCCATTTAATATTACACCATTATCAACAAGTTTGACATTAGGTGTTGAGAATTTCATTAATTTAGTCTTTTTATTATTTAATAATAAATTATTTGAATCAAACCAATAGACAACTTTTGAGAGAGCATCGTTTACATCGTTGTACATTAGCGAATTGCGCTTAACTTTAAAAATAAGTGAAGTGTCATCAGCGAACAATACTATCTCATGTTTGTCCTGTACAAAAAATGGCAAATCATGAATATAAATTAGAAAAAGGAATGGGCCAATAATAGACCCTTGTGGAACCCCCATATCTAATGTAGCTCCAGGAGATCTCTTACCATTTACATCAACCCTCTGTATTCTATTTTTTAAATACGAATTCAGAAGGTCGAGTGCCTTATTTCTAATACCATAGTGATGCAGTTTCCTGATCAGCGTCTCATGATGTACACAATCAAAGGCCTTGGATAAGTCACAGAATATTCCAAGTGCATCTTGTGACCTTTCCCAAGCCTCAAAAATATTTTTCTATAGCTCAACACTAGCATCTGTCGTGGAGCGGCTTTTCGTAAATCCAAATTGTTTCTTATAAAGTAGATTGTATGAATGTGATCCTTTTAACTAACAGGCTAACATCTAGTACGTTATTTTTAAAGACTTTATGTATAAGCCTAAAACTTACAGTTTCGGTCCTTTTTTAAGTTAATTCATCCTTACTTGAGAAATGATTGATTCTCCATACAAAGTTCCATCCCCCTTTTCCACCCCATTAAGGGATGATTTTCTGAGTATAACTATCGTATGTCCTTTCCAGGGTCTCAAACTATCCAAATACCATATACCGTACCAAATTTCGTCTTAATCGGTTCCATTCGCTCCAAGTCAGTTCATTATTTAGGATCACGCGTGCGTTATCGTTCGGCTTATTATAGTCCAAGATCCCAGGGCCGCCAGACGTCACGTATTTTCTAACGAACGAAATGTGGACGATTGGGTAGTGTTAGTATGTACTAAGATCGTACGCCTACCTGCTAACTTGGTTAGACGGCCAATTTCCAGGTATCAGGTAATCGAGGTACCACAAAAGATTACTTACCTCACGTACATTCTCCAAGCTAATTTGCACGTATATTTTAGATAATATCGTTAAAAATAAGTCGTCAATACTCCCAGACACTTTCCGTCGGCCGTATTGCTTTGCAGACGCTTTAAAGGTCCCAAAATAATTACTTAACTTCACGTAAGTTTTGATGCTCCATTTTTCCATATGTTCGCCAAGAAGACAGACCGATCCAAGGGGCCATCATCCCCTAAACTCAATTTTAATGCCTCTGTTGGTAGGTTGTCCAGAGGAAAAGTCTTTTCGCGTGTACTGGGATTAAAAGACGAAATGCAAATGTTTTTTGAACAAAATAAAAATTATGAGTTTGTTTATTTGTTGGAAGATAAAATATGGTGTGCTAAACTAACTTATCAGACATTTTTGTTTTTTTTTTAATAAAATAAATTCAAGTATGCAAGAATCGAAAGAAAATCTATTAAACTGAACAGATAAACTCTTGAGATTCCAAACACAATAACGTTATGGAAGAATAAAGCTCAGGAAGGCAATTTGGAAAAGCTTGAGCCAGTCCAAGAGATTTTAATAAAACTATTTATGAAATTGTAATTGACCACTTGACAAAATTAGACTAGAAATATGATCACTATTTTCTAAATTTAGATACAAAAAAATTGATTAGGTTCGTAGTCCATTTTTGATAACGAAATAAATAACTATATAAATAAATACGTCTGTATTTGCATAAACTTTGAATAAAGAGAAAGAACTAATTTCGTTTTCTAATAATCGAGATTTAATATAAAAATATTTGGAAGAATCAATTAGTTAATAATACTAAAGTACTTCAATACGACATTAAAAAATAATAAATAATAAATACATATCTTGTGACATTAACACACATCACCATCTAGTTTCATGGTAAGCTACGAGGCCGTTGTTATGGATACCAGATAGTTGATACACCATACATATGTATATAACTTTAAATACAGATAAATAAAATTTAAGTATCCGTTTATAATGTCAAAATAACAGCTTTTTACTATGTGCATATAGAATTATACACGGTATTTATAAGAAAAACACAATTATTTACATTTTTGTCTGTCTGTCTGTTTGTTCCGGCTAATGTCCGAAACAGCTAGGACGATTTTGATGGGCCTTTCACTGGCAGGTAGTTGATGTTATAAGAAGTAACTTAGGCTACTTTTATTTCAGTAAAATAATTAGGGTTCCACTGAAAAAACAAAATGTACCTAGGGACGAACCCAAGCGAAGCGAGTGTGAGCACTGGACTACAAGCATTCGTGCTCATCACGCAAATAAATACCCCTAGCGGGACTCGGAACCGCGACCGCTAGCACAGCAAGTAGGGTCACTACAAACTGAGCCAAACGTGTCGTCAAAATTGATAAAAGAATCCCGTAGTTATGATCATACCGTTCGTGCTGACGTTCCAAGAATTGATGCATTTTCTTTCTGAAATGATGGAAAGTTAAGAGACTGTGAGTAAATCTGAAAAAATGTAAAATAAATAATTTTTAAATATTGTAGTGAATACTTTGTTACAGCTTCAGGTTTGCAAGTGTGTAAAGGGGACCATCTTGTAATCCATATATGGGGCATACACCGCAACCCGCAGTACTGGGGCAAAGATGCGGAAGAATTCCAGCCGGAGCGGTTTCTAAACGTAACGCCGCAGCAACTGTATGCATTTATACCGTTCAGTTATGGTACTCGAAATTGTGCCGGTAAGTGCTAATATTTGAATTTGATTACGACTAGGCATATGTATGTTTTGATCAAACTACTACAATAGGATTCCATAAAAGCCAAACTTCATAATCATTTGTATAGCCACTCCCTCGTTGAAATTTACTAATATTGCTTTATAAACAACTAGCGGCTCACCCTCGCTTCACTTGGGTTCGTCGCTAGGTACGTTTTAAATAAATATTAAAAGTTATTAGCCAGCGTTAGTCATATAAATTTTATTTTTGTTAATAATATTGACAAATATTTTATACGATACTAACGTCACTCGATTTTTTTGCCTTCCTGAAACCTCTCCACTAACACTTAAACTTTATGGTATGGTATTAAAGTTCAAATTGACTTTTAAGTAGGTATTATTACAAATATTTTATATGGTAATATTATTAATTGATAATTATTATATTGAAAAGTGTTGTTTTCAGCTTTTTCAAGCAATTGTTTAAATTTTTCTCTCCGTAAGAACCATCCTCGTACTTCAAGAAATATTCTAAAAAAAGAATTAGCGAAATCGGTTCAGCTGCTCTAGAAATTTGCGCTTACCAACACAATCAGCGATTCATTTTTATGAATTCACAATCACAAATTAAGATAATATTATAGTGATTTTCACGTACGCGGACATTGAACAGTGTGTTAAATTGTGGTTATAAAACCAGGTTTCATTCAGTAATAAAACAACAAGAATTAAACTTTGTATATGATAAATGTGCAAATAATAAAAAATATATAGAAAATAGTCAAATAAAAAGTTATTTGAAGTGGGAATCGAAGACACGACATACGTCACAACACTTAATGCTAATATAACTATACTAGTTGCCGTCCAGTAAAGCTTGTCCTTATGGTGCATTAAAGTTATCAACAGACTCTTATTGAAACCCGTAACCAACTAATGAAATTTATACACTCCCCCTTAAAAGGTGGCCTTCGATATTCTTGCTGGAAACCAAATTTTTTGCCACAAATGTTCCTTCTTTAATCTCATATTTAAATTCATATTATTGCATTTTCCGTTTTAACAAAAACATCTATAAATAGTACGTCTATACATCTGTGATCTATCTACACTAATATTCTAAAGAAGAAAGGTTTATTTGTTTGTAGGCGATAAACTCACAAACTACAAAATTAATTTTCAACCAACTTCTTCAAATAGGAGGAGATTCTTCGTCACTTATTAACCGATTTGGACAATTTATGTTTTGTTTGAAAGTGTATACTTTCAAGTTGGTCCACTTTTAATTTAAAAAAATAGCTAATGATGAATTTAACATACTTCTAATTTTCATATTGCCTTGAAACTTTGCAAGTGTTTCTTTCTATTTCCATTAATAGTGCAGTGGTTCATAATCATCGACCTGATCTGATGGTAAGGTCAGAAGATCGATAGGTGAAACTCTTCAACGGCTAATAGTAGATAATACGGGAATTGGATTTTAGACCCAGAATATTTAGTGTTAGTAATAAAAGCGAATTTTAGCTTCATATAAATATTGGCATCAAACTGACTTAAACAGCTTAAGCGAATATTTTATTAAAATACTTTCTTCTTACTTTGTTAGCCCAGTGGTAATGCGCTCGCTTGGGAAACCGAGTGAAGCGGGTTCAAATCCCGGGTCTCGCACCTCTGATATTTTCATGTGCGAATCATTTCCAACATGATTACCACTTGTCTTAACGGTGAAGGAAAACATCGTGAGGAAACCTGCATATCTGAGAGAACTTAGCAAGTTTTCAAAAGACATGTGAAGTCCGCCAACCCGCACTTGGCCAGCATGGTGGACTATGGCCTGATTCCCCTCGTACTGAAGGGAGGCCCGTACCCAGCAGTGGGACATTAAAAAGGGCTGAATACACTTTGTTACTACTATGTCTACACTAAAAAGGGAAAAATAAAAACTTTTTAATAAAAAAATTAAAATCGACTTGAAAAAAACACTAAAAAGTAAAAAAGAACTGATTGGCAGTTTTTATTTACTAAAGATACCTAATCAAATATTTTCGAAGTCAGTGCCAGCCGATACAAATCAAAGCCCATCGACTTCGATAGTATTTGATTAGGTATCTATAGTAAATGAAAACTACTAATCGGTTATTTTTTTACTTTTTAGTGTTTTTTGAATGTCTGTTTTTATTATATTAATTATTTTACTAATAGATACATTGGTACTAATATCAATAACCAAACTTATATTTTACTTATTTATATGTACCAGATTCATTCTGCACCGCAAGATTAAATAAAAAATGGCGGTCCGGCAATGCCACAAAGGTTCCTCTTTTAATCTCATATTTAATGTAGTAATATTGCAATTTCCGCACCAAAAGAATATTTTTAGTATGTCTACACTTCGAAACTAATATTATATAGAGAAAAATTTATTTATGAGTTATTACTGCCCGAAACGATTTTCAATTTACAAAATCAATGTAAATTTTAGTTCTCATCTTGAAATATAAAAACGAGGGTGATAGTTTCTAAGCAATTTTTTTCTATCGTTTTTTTCTATCGTTAGGTTACTAGTATTGCCCGCGGCTCCGCCCGCGTTCAGATGACCAAAAACCAAATAAAATAGCGCTATTGTTATTTGTTTTCAATATAAGCTATTTTTAATAGTTTTTGCCTTATTTAGTAAGTTACCTTGCTACATATATATATGCTTTGTCAGTTTCGCAACCACAAACTTTGTTTTCTATAATAAGTTCAAAAATAGAATATATAATTTTTCAGTGCACCTCTCTAACATTCGAGGATTGCACTCTAATCTCTATGCGGTCCATCACCACCTCGAGACCGCTAAGCCACATTTACTCTTTCTCACGGAGACGCAAATTCACAGCCCAGCGGATGTAGCATATCTTGAGTACCCCGGGTATTCGCTTGAGCATAATTTTAAAGCTCGGACAGGGGTCTGTTTGTACGCTTGTAGTAACATCTGCTACCAACGTCTTCGTAATTTGGAGGTACCAAACTTCTTGGTTCTGTGGTGCTTGGTTGACACAGGTTTCGAGCGAACAGTTTATGCATGCGTTTATCGTTCACATAGCGTTGACCAGGAGACCTACCTAAGCGAAAAAGCTGACATCGTCCAACATCGATATCCAACCGCTCAACTGGTATTTCTGGGAGATTTTAATGCCCACCACCAAGAGTGGCTGTTCCCATTTAAAACTGATCATGCTGGGTGAGAGGCGCGCAATTTCGCACTATCGCCAGATCTCTCTCAGTTAGTTCAGGAAGCCACTCGGATACCGGATGTTGATGGACACACACCCAACTGCTTGGACCTTCTGTTAACAACTGATCCTGATAGGTTCTCGGTTTCAGTTTCGTCTCCCTTGGGAACCTCAGACCACTGTCTAGTGAAATCTGTATCCAACTTTTACCCTCCTGCTCCAGACTCCTCAATAAAGAGGCGGGTGTGGCGATACAGTTCAGAAGATTGGGATGAGATGCGGCACTTCTTTGTATCTTACCGTTGGCGGCAAGTTTATTTCTCTACCAACGATCCGTCGAGCAGTGAGAGTGCTATATCGGATGTGATACGCCAGGCAATGGAATATTTTATACCATTTTCTGACGTTTCGCCCTATGGCCAGACACCTCCGTGGTACAATGCTGAGTGTGCTGCTGTAGAAGCTCGTAAGCAATCGGCGTTTATAGCATGGGCGGACGCACGTGCTCTCAATGCACCGGACGTAAAAACGAAAAAAAAGAGAATTCAATATTGCCACCAAGTCCTACAAGAGGGTCCTGGGAAAAGCTCGTTTCAACCGAACTAACCACATCGGGCGTAAGCTAGCCACACACTCTAGTGTTAATAAAGCTTTCTGGTCCTTCGCAAAGTCGGTTGAAGCGAACTTCTGCCGTTCTTCGGTGCCGCCTCTGCAGAAATCTGATGGATCACTGGCTGTCTCTGCAACTAACAAGGCTAATCTTCTAGCGTCTCTATTTGCAGAAAACTCACGTCTCAATGCTGGAAAAAAATTACCACCCACTGTTTCAACATGCGACTCCTTTATGCCAGATATACGAATACACCAGCAAGAGGTCCTAAAAACTCTTCGGAACCTCGACGTGAACAAAGCCAGTGGCCCTGACGGTATACCTGCAGTTGTCTTGCGGAATTGTGCCCCTGAGTTGTCTCCTGTACTAGCGCGTTTTTCATTATTCGAATTATTTTCATGTATAAAATATCGCTATAGATGTAGTTTTTTTCAAGAGAAGCTATTTATAATTATTTTTTGACCTACTTTGTAAGTTACCTTGCTAAAATGTTTATAGTTTCAGCGTGGTTTTATTCTAACCAGTTTTTGTATTTTTCTCAGAGACGAGATATTTCCCCGCAGTAAAAAGTTATACTATCCTATATGTTAACCCGGTTAACCAGCTATCACCTTTCATCAACATCCGTCCAGTGGTTTTGTCGTGATGCTGCCCCAGACAAACAAAGTATCGACAATAATTACTATTTCAAGACGACTTTCCAAAAAATATTGAATGTACAGATCCGGCTCAGAATTTTATTATATGTATAGAATATAGGGTTACCATGTTGTAGGTTGCATAAATCTTAGAAAGGTGTTTTAATTATTATTAATTATATGACTTCACAGGGGTTCGCCACGCTATGATTTTCCTAAAGACGACGTTGGCGAACATCATACACAAGTACCACATCGAGCCACCTACCAGCTACGAATGTGAAAATCCATTAAGAGTTAAGTTCGTAGTGACGATGAAACACGTGCATGATTATAAGTTGCAGATGCGAAGTAGAGTTTAAAATAACATAAACTGAAAATATTATTAAATTCTATGTAAATAAGCATTCTTTTTATTTTAAACTAGCGACTCACCCTCGCTCCGCTCAGGTTCGTCCCTAACGTTTTAACAGTTAGTATAGATTTCTTAAAGATGAGATATTTTCCTGCAGTTAAATGTATTTTATATGTTGACACGAATAACCAGCTATCATCATACCAAATTTCATCAAAATCTGTCCAGTGTTTTTTTCATGATGCGTTCCCAAACAGACAGACAGAAATTCTAAAAACAATAGATTTTTTAGAATTGGCCTTTGTCAAATCAAATCAAAATATACATACTTTATTCAAATAGACTTTTACAAGCACTCTTGAATCGTCAATTTTACATTTTATATTTAAATTAAATGTCAGTGTAGTCAGTCCGTGAGGAAGCTATCACCGGCTCGGAATGCAGTTCTGCTGAGAAGAACCGGCGAGAAACTCAACAGTTGCTCTTTTAAAATAATAATTGTGTACAATATTGTAATACAATAATTATCTACTTATCCTACGTGAGACCCAACCGGACATTAATTACACACATTGATATCTGCAAAGTATTCCGTGACAGTATAATAAGCCTTATTCATTAATACATTTTTAATTTCAGACTTAAATTGATTAAATGGCAAGCTCAAAATCGATTGTGGAATTCTATTATACATGCGATTTATCTGTATCGATAATAATGACTAAATAGTCATGATAAGAAGACAAAAAAAATTTTAATGTACATTTTTGACTCAGAATTTTATAATATTTATAGACAGATTATACTCTTGAAAAATAATTTATATATTTATTTGGTTTATCTGAGTTGTTATAAGTACATACATGATAATAATCTATTTACAACAATTCATGGTAACTCAGAAAACATATTTTATGGTTATATCACAATACGTGGATTTTCTATCAATTGGTCAACCTACAAAGTTTTCCGATATAGATTTTATAGATTTTGAAGTGCTCTTTCCGAATTTCAATTTTACCACCTCTTTGCCGCTCGCGCCGCCATATTGGAAAATGGCGCCCAATAGCAGTTTTCAGACAATATCTCCTGTCCGATTCATTTTACGAAATACCTATGTATATATAAAATTAAACTAAAGAATATTTTCTACAATTTATGAAATAAATAGGGAAAAGCGAGACTTTTGATACTTTTTTTTTGAGATTTTTTTATTCCGGTTGCGGCATACGGTACGTGGCAGCACTATAAAGTGAAACTTAGGATAAGACAACAGAGGAAATAATTAATTATCGCTGTATAACTATTTAATATATGTATATCCCCTATCTAATACTAGCGTAGAAGCAGAGAGGGCTTTTTCTAACTCTTAACTTTTGTAATAAAATGGGATCCTTTCTGTATGAAAGTAAATATAACGTTTAAAATACTATTTGTGTTTACGTGCCCACTGTTAAAATAAAAAATAAAAAATTCATAAATATTAGATCCTTACATATGAAATTGGCGTTTTGTCGAACTGGCTACTTTGATCTAAAATATCTATATCTGGCGCTTAGTTAGGAATTCCAAATTCAAATTTATTTCAATTTTAGGCTTATGTATTTGTTTTTGGAATTTAGAGATTCATTTGTTTTCGCGCTATCTGTATGTGCATTAATATGTAAGTTAAAATATATAATAAAAAAATGGTAGCTATGTGATTTGTTTCAAAAATTATTAATAAAATAATAATAATATATTCATATATGTTTATTGTTTTATAGTCACAATCTCACTCTCTTGTCATGATAAAATAATTTTTATATTATAATTTATAACTAACTTTTACATGCGTACTCAATACTCTGCGTGCGCATACTCTTAACGATCGTAGCGTGATTATAGATAGTCTATAACATTCATTCATACTTCATAGGCAGTGGTAGCACAGTGGTTATGCGCTCGCTTGGGAAACCGAGTGAAGCCGGTTCAAATCCTGGGTCTCACACTTTTGATATTTTTATGTGCGAATCATTTCCAATATGATTACCACTTGTCTTACGGTGAAGGAAAACATCATGAGAAAACCTGCATATTATGATATGAGAATCTAGCAAATTTTAAAAAGGCATCTGAAGTCCGCCAACCCACACTTGGCCAGCGTAGTGGACTGTAACCTGATCCCCTAGTATTGAAGGGAAGCCCGTGCCTAGTAGTGGAACGTTAAAAAGGGCTGAATACATGCAAAAAATATATTTCCCGATAGTTTCAGAGATTAGGTAATCCCTCAACGACCGCGGACACGCCGGCGTGTCAGTTAACAATAGATTTCTTAGAATTTCAATTAATTTCTTAGAAATTTGCCTGGAGGTGTTAACGCATTCAAACATAAAAGCAAAAAATTTTTGCACATCCCCAAACCACTTAACAGTTTAATTTCAGTTAAAAGGATCGGGACTAGTGAAGTCACAGTGAAAAAATGTAATCAATGTAGGAGATGCATTGATTTTGTTCATTTTCTTTTTCACCTCAACCTCGAACGTAAAATCGGTTCGCAGACAGACTGCCGGACCGTATTCAATTAACAAATCGAAAATACTCCATAGAAAATGTGTTTCTCCTTCACAGTGAAAACAATTAAAAAACAGAAGATATACTTCTGTATATAATAATGGAACATGATAAAAATTGCAATATGATGCAATTTTTGAATAAACTACACTAATTACGATGATTCGTAATAAACAAAATAATATAGTAGAAGAAATTTCAACATGGCGAAAAAGAAAAAGCCTGTATGTGAATCGAACTCGCACCTATTTCCTTTTTAGGCTCGTCCACAACCAACAAAAAATTATTAATTATAATATACATACATATATAAATTGCTTGTTTTTTTTTATAAATATATGTAAAGCTTAGACTAACATATCGTTTTAGGAACATTAAAATAATACAAACTCACCCTTATATTTATTCCCCATTTGTATAGAAAAGGGACGATACATGAAAATCAAAGGGCTACTTTGGCATGTTGACAAATAAACGTATGAAAATATCTTTAAGAAAAAGCACGCAAAAATAGTTCTTATTACAAATGAAAATAGTACTTGTATTCCATATATCATTTAACAATGTAAAGGTTTCATACTGTCGAGGGATTACGCTGATTTATTGCAAAGGAAGTGGTCGGTTTTCATTTCAAAATATCTTTTTCAAATTTATATTTCGCTGTAAAAGATTTTTCGGTAATCCGCTTATTATAGGTAAAAGGGTAATTTTGATATTGAAATATAATCTTTTATTCGAGATTATTAGGTACATGTTTTGTTATTAGCTATATACAATACTTAATTATATGTAATTCTATTTCACCACCAACCACTATTATAAATACGAATATTTGCAGGCGTGTGTGTATATTCGTCACTTCTTCACGCCAAAACGGCTGGACAGATTTGAGTAAAACTTACCACACAGATAGATTATGGACAAGAGTGAAATATAAGCATAAGGAGGAAAAGATGAGTAAAGCCAGGGGAAGTCGCTAGTTGAAATATATTTTCTTATGTGCGATTACTATGTAGGTACACGTACTCTTATAGGTTACATGCTATACTTGAGTGTATTGCTAGTTGGTATGTAAAAAACTTTATTTTATAAATTCAGAAACCTTACATATATAAGGTCATGAAAATAAAAATCATGAAATAGCTTCAGTATTAGATTAAAGTTATTAAACTATTAGGTCTTAGTTAATAACTCAGAAACGTGCATAATATGTTAATTTAAAATTACAAAAATATATTTGTTATTAATATTTTATTGTATTCAGCACTTGTTGTTGGGACGTCATCTCACTGCTGGGCACAGGCCTTCCTTCAATACGAGGGGAATCAGGTCATAGTCCACCACGCTGGCCAAGTGGGGGTTAGCGGACTTCACATGTCTTTCGAAAACTTGCTAGGTTTTCTCAGACATGCAGGTTTCCTCACGATGTTTTCCTTCACCGTAAGGCAAATTGGTTGTAATGTTAGAAATGATTCGCACTTGAAAATATCAGACATGCAGACCCGAGATTTGAACCCGCTTCACTCGGTTTCCCAAGCGAGCGCGTTACCACTGGGCTACCACTGTCTTATTATATATCACACCATATTAATATTATTATATCAATAATGTTAATATTATTATAATAATAATGAGCAATAGGTTTTGAGTTAAATAAGGAATGGGGAAAAATAGTTTATATCCTTTTTTTTTTTAACGTTGGGAAATGCATTTACGCACGACGTGTGGGACTCACCGGCGTAATACAGCCAGTACTACCCACTAAAACCCAACAAAAAACCTTCCCCCGTCTTAATGGGGCGTCGCAGGATCGCTTACGCATTCAACTACGACGCCCCGACGGTCGGTCCGCCAAAGCAGACCACCACAACCATGGGGTTGCTCCACAGTCCACTCTGCTATCAGAGAAGTACCAGGAGCAACCCGCATGGTACACCGCCCCCGAAGAGGGCCACCTCCCACCGCCCACCGAAGTGGGCAACCTCCCTGTGCGTTTCTTGGCTTCGCGCCCGGTTGGATTGCCGAGCACTACTGAGCCCCCCCACCACGACAAGGTGAACGCACGTTGGGGGGGAGTTTATATCCTTAATAAATTCAAAGGCTACATTTATCGACGTATCTGTCATAAGCTTGTAGTTTCAGGCAAAAACTAGTTATACAAAGCTTTTTAATATATTTAGGTCCCGTACCTTAAAATGAAAAAGAAACTTATAGGATCAATCACTTCATTGTCTGTCTTGTCAGTTTTAATTAAATAATAGTAAATATTGATGTAAAATGTTTTTTCTAAATTTGTGGTGTAAAAAAACATTTTTTAGTAAAAGTTATGTAATTTTTTTTAAGGTAAAAAGTACAAAAAATATGTTGGTATTTTATTAAACAAAGGTCCTTACTCCTAACCGTTCACCCTTCGTGTTTCCTACATGTAAACCTTAAACCGATTCATCATAT